GGTTGGTTGGTGTGTGTGTGTGTGTGTGTGTATGTATGTATGTATGATTGTTTGTTTGTGTGTGTGTGTGTGTGTGTGTGTTTGTTTGTATGTATGTATGTGTGTATCTATGTATGTATGTGTGTGTCATGTATGTATGTAGTGTGTGCCTGCGTGTGTGTGAGTGTGTGTGTGCATGTGTGTACGTGAGCAAGCGTACGAATAGAAAAACATATGCCTGCTTCCTTCAGAATGTTTATATAGTGAGCTTTATTGATCTAATCAATGTTTGTAGAATGAAAATTCGCAAAAGCTCTAGTCTGTAGCATCAGCATCTACAGAGAGGGAGTAAGTTTTGCTGGTCAATCTGAAGGTCGGTGTTTGAATCCCAAATCGTTGGCAGCATGCCGTTATGTGTGGTTGGCAGGTGTGGCATCAGTGAGCGCTGTTCCAGCACAACCCTAGCATAGTTCATGAACTGTTACAGAGTAGTTACAGCGCAGCTGCTCCGTGTGTTCTTATAATGTAACTCCAGTCTGCCTTCCTACGACAATACTGTCAATATAACAAATCCTATCCAAGTATTACTCAGTGACTCTCTTTTCAAACCAAAACATTTTCGTATTTCAAAACACGTTCCCACAGCCCCCCTTCAACAAGTATCAAGGTTTGAAACTTATTCATGATAGAAATAGCTATGATGGTGATTGTAAGCGTAACCTGATCTTACTGCATCCGTTTTTTTCACATAAAGATAAAAAGGTATTGTGTCATTATAATCAAGAGAATCTGTAAATGAAGTTAATTTGTTTTGTTGGGTTTTTTTTCACTTTCTAAAAAAATCATTACTGTTTAGCTAAGCGATAATCAAAATATCCGTGTACTGTTAAAAAAATAATCACTGATAATTATCAATATACCGTTCTTACTTCGAGAAATGTTCTAGAATTATCATCGCTGCCTCATATATATATCTTCAGCATCTGACTGTTTGTCGTCATTGGTGACCAAAAGCTGCGTGATTTGGATAATGTCTCCTTCCTTTTCGCTTATAATATCAATTGGGTTGGAAAACTGCTGGAATGTTACTGACTGTGGTGTAAAACAACAATCAACTGAAGCAAACATTAATTCTTTAAATGAAATAACATCTTTTGCAATATGTATTGTTTCACGAATACCAACCTTCATCGCTCAAACACAAAGGTGGAATGTGCTGTTTTGACGACATACAAAGTGCTAAATGATATATTTGGTACACTATCTACCATATTTTCATCAATATCATGGTTTTTCTATTTTTTCATCAGTGAACCTCGAGGGATTAAGTTATCATAATGCAGCAGTCGCGGTTTCCACTAATTCCCTCGTACAAATCATAACAAAAGGACAAATTTATTTCCCCTGGCCTTTACCTTTAAACCGATGAAGACATAAGGCACAAAGTATACGACATTTTGATAAAATTAAATTTTCATATCTAATTTTGCAAAATGTGTTTTCCATTACATCCATTTTATCTAGTCTACTTTCCTGCCTTTGAAGAAATCGTTTTCCTATATTCTATTATGTACATTTCTTGGGAAAAATCGATTAATATCTTTTGTATCCGAGTTTCAACATAAAATCAATGTTTGCTTTATAGGTGTGTGAGCTACTTGTATGTGTCAACTGATAAAACGGGGAAAAAATAATAAGGACATGATTGCTCTGTATCTTGTTTTAACTCAACATCTACTAGAAGTACAGAAAACTTCGTCGCGTCATCTCTCGAAGTGTCTTTTTTCCATAGTTCCTGCATCTTTGTGGGGAATGTCACAAAGACTCTCATAAAGAGTTAACTTGGTTTAAAGCTTAAAATAGCTCTGCAAAACATTGTCAGTGAAAGGCATGCGTGCTCCAAGTGCACCTGTCGAGACGTCGTAGCTATGTTGGTGGGATTTACCTTCCTCCGTATGTTGGAGACTTGCGTTGTAGGTGAGATTAGGTCATGTGTCTGTTGGTGTCTGTCAAGTGTCTGTTGAAAGTCAAAAGATGTGCTCCGTTTGAAAGAACATTCTTAACAGACAATGTATTTCAAGTTATGTTGTTTTCCAACTTTCTTGAATTAAGATAATTTGTACATGGTATTTCTTGATAAAAAGGCCTTCCAGAACGAAAGCTCGCTTCAGTGCTTTTTCAGGAATTTTTCGAAATACATCGGTTTCGAATACATTTTTCTAGTATCGAATCTAATTCTGACATATCAAAACAACAAACACACTTTTGCCTATCTTCCCAATCTCATTCGACATAAGATGGTGATGGAAGAGAGCAATTACCAGGGGTTCGAAACATTAATACGTTCAACTTGATTATATTTCAGATATAATTGATGAACACGATTAGGTACAATGTTAATGATTTGAGTCTGATTTAGAAAATCTTACGCCCTTTGTCATATCAGTGAATTACAAATATTCTGCTTATAAAGCCAAGTTAGATAAATGAGCTAACCGACTTTTCATATTTTCCTCTACACAATTGGAACAATATGATTCTGATTACTGGTCCGGAATAATGTCTATTGGCTATCGTCCTATGAACTAATGTATTTGCTGAAGCCTGTTAGCTAATGAAAATATATTTGATATTGCATTCAACATTTCATGTGGAATAAATACCCATTCCACTGACAAGGCTTAATCGTTTAGGTAAGCATCTGTAGTAGTTTCCAGGAAGCATTTGACCTATACACTGAAAATATTTCTATACTAGGCCAATGTGGCGAAGTGGAGATATTGGCCTTTAAAATCTCTTGTAAATGAGGTTTTTTTATCAATTTTGTATGATTTAATTATTTTGAGGTTTTATACATGGACATTGTGTGTGATGATTGGTTTGGTTTGGTTTGGTTTTGTTTGTTGTTTTACGCCGCACTCAGCAATATTCCAGCAATATGGTGGTGGTTTGTAAATAATCGAGTCTGGACCAGGCAATCCAGTAATCAACAGCATGAGCATCGATCTACGCAATTGGGATACAATGACATGTGTCAACAAAGTCAGCGAGCTTGACCACCCGATCCCGTTAGTTGCCTCTAACGACAAGCATGGGTTACTGAAGATCAATATTCTAACCCGGACCTTCACGGGTCGGGATACGATGACATGTGTAAACCAAGACAGCGAGCCTGATAACCTGAAGACCCATTTTAATGGTAACATGCAGCGATGGGATTCCTATTGCGTATATTCATTTGATTTCATTTTGTAAGCATCAGTTGGAGCCGATCAGCATAAATGTCCAGGTGTTGTGTTACAATTACCACAAAAATCATAAACTCACCTGCTGCTGCATAACCCATGTCTGGTGTCTCCAACCATGATGTGAGTGAGTGAGTGAGTTAGGTTTTATGCCGCACTCAGCAATATTCCAGTTATATGGCGGCGGTCTGTAAATAATCGAGTCTGGACCAAACAATCCAGTGATCAACAGTATGAGCATCGATCTGCGCAATTGGGAACCGATGACATGTGTCAACCAAGTCAGCGAGCCTGACCACCCGGTCCCGTTAGTCGCCTCTTACGACAAGCGTTGGTTACTGAGGGCTCATTCTAACCCGGACCCAACCGATGTCGCTTGAATGCTGCCACCATACTCCCTCAGTAATGTACCAAGATGAAAGTGTTCATGACAATATTCTTCTGAACTATAGTATGATAGAGTGTGGCCAAAGTGGTACCTGTCGTCTTGTGTACGCACCAATACATCTTCCTCATTTTGATCTTCAGTAATCAATGATTAGGAACTAAATTCAAGAAGTGTGACATGACGTTGTACTGGCTTTATTTGTTTTCTCGTAATAGTGTGTGTACTTATCTGTCTGTTTTGTTTTGTTTGTAACTCCTTTTTTCTGTTTCTTCCACTTGCACGGATTTGTTTCTTGTAAACTTGTGTTTGTGTTTTGTTGTGTGTTCGTGCGTGTGTGCAGGTGCGTGTGTGTACTCGTTACTTGTGCTGTAGAAGAGTATGCCTTTCACATTTAACACACCAAAGAAAGAGAAAAATGTTAAATCGATGGAAAAGTGGATTCTCAGAACTTCAAAGTATTTGCTTGGATTGCAAAATCAAAACACAGGAAAGTGACTAAGACGTTTACCGTACGCTTCAGGTATATCGATTCTGATATCGCTAACAAATCTCAAGTAGTCATTTCCTTTGAATGTTTCATCTATTCGATACTTAGACTGTAAACTTTACAAAAGCTAACTTTCCAGTTATGTCAGGCAATATACCTGCAATCCACCATTTGGATTGTACAGTTCCCAACTGTTGAGGCCCAGTGGAGCATGCTCTTCTCACGAAGAATTCAAGGAGCGCCATTCTTCATACCGGGCTTACGACATTAGTTCGGCTTAGATAGTGCGTTTGTTTGTGTGCTGTTTAACGGCGCACCATTATTCCAGCTATATGGCGGCGATCTGTGAATAATCGAACCAGACAATCCAGTGATCAACAGCATGAGCATCGATCTACACAATTGGGAAACAATGACATCTGTCAGTCAAGTCAGAGAGCTTGACCACCCGGTCCTGTCAGTCGCCCCTTGCGACAAGCATTGGTTGCTGTCAACTTGCCGACGACCAATTCTAGCCCGGATCTTCACGGGTAACATAAAGCGGCACACTAACTTACGCACTGATTGTGACTGTTTGCTGAAGACCATTTCAAATCCAGATCGTCACGTGTTCGGCTTACACAAACCTGGTACGGTAGATTTTGGGAGGACATGTCCTAATTGGGGCCCGGTGCAGTTCCCTATTTTGACTATCACACGTTCCTCAGTTTGTTCAAGTGACTAGCCTATGCATAGTTTGTAATGTGCAATGTGTGACGCCCATTTCTGATGTTCCCAGCCGTGATATTATTCGAATATGGCTGAAACCGGCGTTTACAATGTGTGACGCCAATTTCTGGTGCTCCCAGCCGTGATATTATTCGAATATGGCTGAAACCGGCGTAAAATCATACTCGCTCACTCACCCTACTTGGCTGATAGGGGAATGTGCAATCTAGGCTGCCTGTGAGATGTTAGAATGTTAACAGTGACGTTAGTTAATACCAACTTATCCTAGCGAGTACCCATTCACTGCTGATCCAAGATATGTATATTTCGAACAAATAAAAATAGTGCCAAAGTAGTTTAGCAAGGGGTGGGACTAGAGTCCTTCTAAATATCAGGAGTCAAGCTGCCAAACTCTGTCACCCATCCAACGACGACGAACGCTGCTTAATTTCGCCTGATTTGTGACCTGGAATTGGAAGAGGAATTGTTCAGTTAGTGCGTTATTAAATTTCAACCTGAATAAATATTTCCATTTGCAGTTACAGGTGTTCACGCTGTTGATACCTGCTGGATCTACGACTATGAACATTCCTGGTCCAAGACCCCCTACAAGAGACTGTTCAACTGCCCCTGTGGGTGTTGCGGGGACTCATGGACACGTTCCTGCTGTCCACGAGAGCCCGTGTGTCAGCACAACAAAACAGTGGACACCAATCCACAGCCAGAGGACAACAGCGCAACGTAAGTCTTAACTGCCCTGGTCTCCGCATGCTTTGGAGAGATATTACTAGAATATTTTTTTGTTGTCCTTTTTTATTCATCTTTTTATAGGTACAAAATCATGACATAAATAATCATGAATAAATTTGCATAATGCATTGATGTTTTGTAGACCATTGTCATTGGTTACCATCGCGATGAAATGACAAAATCACAAATCACGGTTACTTATGCAGGTTAGCTGCACTTTTACACTGAATGCCCTTGGTTTAACTGTTTACAACAAGAAAGGGGCATGATCAACACATTACCTTCAGGGATATTTAGACTCAGATTCAGCAGTATGAGGCAACAGAGTTTTCAGTACAAAAAAAATTGTAGATTGTCAGACAGACAGATTGACATTCCAGCTGTATTCAATGTGTAAGGTCTTCAGTGTTATAGTGGAATCCCACGGATAGTTATGTGACTGGGACCTCCTTTCACAAAGCACTAAGGTGATCGTATGTCAACAAGGTAACCTTAGTGCAATGTTAAAGAATGGGAGTTAAGGTTAACCATAGGAAAGGTTGCTTCGTGAAAGGAGACCCAGCTCTTCAAAACAACAACGCGTCTGGTAGGGGTGAGGACATTTTATTGCGTAGGGTAGTCAGTGATTCACAGAATCCACAAAATTCCACAAACCATCAACCTGAAACATTTGACAAATTACCAAATTGACAGCAAAATCATTCTAGGGAAATGTTCTATATAACAAACATGTCTCAATATTTTACAGGTTGCATTAATTAAAATATAGTCATGTTACACAAATACACACACAACAGTCAAAACATTCACACAGTGTACTGAAGGAAAATAAACCTTACCCATTTATGGAATTGAATGGAGTTTACAATTCTACCCTTTTTGGCACCTGCAAACAACATTTGCCAATTTCAAACAAATGGAAAAGCTTATACATGTACATACACTACAGTTACATGTTATGCTAGAATTAATTTGCTAATTATTTATTGTAGTATTTCCTAAGCTCTATCCAAGCATAATATAAATGACTACTTCTAACTTTAGTGTACTTAAACAAAAAGACTATCAATTAAAACTGTGTTGCTGTGTTGTGCAAGGCTGGATACTAAGTGTCATGTGCTTGTACAATCAGGTAATTTAATATGCCTAAGAAACCTTGTACCCAATCAGAGACTTAATCTCTGGTCACAATACACACAATGTGAAATTGAGGCCAGAATGAACCACCTCACATCCTTAGTGATGTCAAAATTCCATTAAGGGACATAATTCATATGCACCTCAACCGCATAGAAATTTTACTAACAAACCCTCAACAAACCTTTTATGAGCTTTGTAAATCTGATTGCATACAACCACAATGTTTATTAAATAATCCTTCACCAATGAAAGCTAAACATATTTAGAGTTGAGCAGTTTATACTTTTTATTTGCATAATTTTATAACTACATAAAACACCTTCGCCTGATAACAATAAAATCTGATATGTCTCCACTGCCATAAGTTCTTGATACTGTGGGAACGTAAGGTTGCGTCAGGTTGAGGTTCAAGGCACACTCTTGTTTAATGTATTTAGTAGGACACCGTCCAATGGTCTCGGGGTGTTGATGCACCGAATTCACGCAAATTCTACTAAACCTTGCTGTCACATTCATCTGGGTAACACACCATCAATGTTGTATTCAACTTAAGACAGGTTTCCATATCTCTAGCAACAGAATAAAAGATTCATTTATCAGTATTGCTATGACCGCCCACTTAACATTGTTGTCAGTCCCCTACAAAGACAACATTCATACCACAAGAAGCATATTTTCACTTCGATGATGCTTTGGTGGAAAGGTGCAGATTTGAGAGAGGCAGCGATAAAGATGATAGAATAGAGGGATGTCTATGTAGCGTCTATGTTGTCTAATCTTACTCTATGTCCCATGACTAAATCAATGAAGAAATTGTCTAACTTGATGTTCTACGACTGCGGCACCAGGATGCAAGCTCTGATGTTGGCCGGCATCGTCGTCGGCACATTCTGCATCCTGATGATCTTGACAGTCGTCATGCACATGTGTGGCAGAATCTTCTTAAAGAGGAAAAGGGAAGAGAAGAACGCACCTCAAGTCATCATATATAACGTCCACGGTAACGAAACAATGCCCTATAGACCATCATATATAACGTCCACGGTAACGGAACAATGCCCTATAGACCATCATTTATAACGTCCACGGTAACGGAACAATGCCCTATAGACCATCATTTATAACATCCACGGTAACGAAACAATGCCCTGTAGACCATCATATATAACGTCCACGGTAACTCAACAATGCCCTAGAGACCATCATTTATAACATCCACGGTAACGAAACAATGTCCTGTAGACCATCATATATAACGTCCACAATAACTGAACAATGTCCTGTAGACCATCATTTATAACGTCCACGGTAACGAAACAATGCCCTATAGACCATCATATATAACGTCCACAGTAACTGAACAATGTCCTATAGGCCATCATTTATAACGTCCACGGTAACGAAACAATGCCCTATAGACCATCATATATAACGTCCACAATAACTGAACAATATCCTATAGACAATCATTTACAACGTCCACGGTAACGAAACAATGTCCTGTAGACCATCAATTATAACGTCCACGGTAACTCAACAATGCCCTATAGACCATCATATATAACGTCTACGGTAACTAAACAATGTCCTATAAACCATCATTTATAACGTCCACGGTAACTAAACAATGCCCTATAGACCATCATATATAACGTCCACGGTAACTCAACAATGCCCTATAGACCATCATATGTAACGTACACAATAACTGAACAATGTTCTATAGACAATCATTTACAACGTCCATGGTAACTGAACAACGTCCTATAGACCATCAATTATAACGTCCACGGTAACGAAACAATGTTCTATAGACCAGCATATATAACGTCCACGGTAGCTGAACAATGTACTTCAGAGCACCATATATAAAATCCACTGAAACGAAACAATGAACTACAGACCATCATATATAACGTCCTCGGTAGCTAAACAATGTGCTTTAGACCATCATATATAACGTCCACAGAAACGAAACGTTTCATGTAAACAATGTTTATATATATTCATTAAGGCAAACAACACCTAGTCACCGAGAATGCATTAAATATGCTATACGTGCCCTCGGTGACTTGAACTGCGATAGCCTGCCAAGGCATTTAACTGGCTGTTTAAATTCGATTTCTTAAAACTTGGACTCGGATGAATCCATCCTGGACTTCTGTTGTTGAGCCAGGGGCCGTGAAGGGGCCGATCATGAATATTCCGTGTCTGCGGAACCCTGTGTCAACATCATAGACTAAGGCACGGTGTGAAACATACCAATTTCCTTGGGCGTTCATCACGTTGGGGACGACGCGTTCCTAATCTGGTCACAAATACTGATTAAAAGTAAAGTAGAGAGCTTACATGTTCGTGTGGATGATGAAAATCAGCAACATGAAATCCTGAGGGTGACTGGACGACCTGTAACTGAAGTCTCAAATTAAGGACCCCCAAACAATGTACACGAACTGCATGGTCAACGTGCAAAGTTGCGGGAATATTGGGCCGTTATGTCCTGATCCCAAAAATTTGAAAGATGTTCTATATACCATTGATATTTTATTAGCCCCTTCTTGTTTTGGGGGAGTATACAAGTAATTTAGCTTTGATGAATGCTGAACATAATCAGGGCGTCAGGCGACCCGAGTGCGTTACATGACAATGTTAAAGTATCAATCGAATCGTTTCTCGATTTCATGGGTTTCTGTAATGTGGACTCTGTTTTCTTCATCAGAACCAGTGGAAGCATCTGTGACAGTCGGTTCCTGTAGTTCCGGCATGGGGAAGTCAGGAAAAGAAGCACCACCACCACCTTATGTTACAGCAACTACCACGGTTTAACTTCGCCTGGATCATCGTGAAGCACACTGTGATAGTACTTCAATGTTTTTGTTCTTGACATCATGAGCGCTTCGACAAAGAACCTATTGAAATAAGAGTTCATAGATATTATCTAAACAAGCGAAAAGGACCAACATCACAATGAAAAACTCTTGGTCTTTTGTGTGAGTGGCCAATTGACCTGAGGCGTCTAAATATGCCGTTCAAATTATTTTTCTAAGTCTTTTCTGGTTCTGGTGCTTATCGTTGATTTGTGTCTCAAATTCGTCTCAGTTCCCATCCGTTGTCTGTCAACCGCTCAATTGCTATCATGGCTTTTCAGACGTGACTTGGCTGGGTCATCATGGTAAAACAAATTTACCTTTCAAATGCACATCACCAACTCGAACTATCCTTCTATCGGTATCCTTCAATAGTGTTTCGACCAATGGTAATCTTCACAGGGCAGCAATGTTGTAAAGATGTATGTATTCTTAGGCTGTTTCGTTCTGAGATCAATCTGTTCACATTTTCTCAATGTTCTATGTGCCTATAATCTTTTGTGTGTTAAAATTATGAATTCTTGTTATCAAATATTTTGTCAAAACGATATAATTTCGTCCACTTGAAATATTGTGCTAATATTGTTGTATAATAAAAAACCCATACCAACCGCGTTCTGATGTATTGCTTTGATTAGACTTCTGTTGATAAGCAGGCAGGAATGGCCGAGTAGTATAACGTGCCCCCTGTCGTTGTTCGAAGTTGTGCCCACTAAGCGTGCCTATAACCGATGATCATGGGTTCGATTCTCGTTTCGTCCCAACACCATAAATATTTGCATAGGTTTTAGTTTTATGTGGTGAGTTGCGTCCCATTGGCACGTCACAAATCAGTGTTCAATTAGTGCTCGTTTGACTTGGTTGTGAAGATGTAGAATTCGTATCCCTAAAATTGCGTAGATCGGATCAGGTGTTCATGCTGTTGATCACTGGATTGTCAGACTCGATTATTTACAGACCGCCGCCATATAGCTGAAATATTTCTGAGTGCGTCGTTAAACAACAAACACAAGCAAGCCTTCTTATATAATCTTTGACGCATGTTCGTAACGCATTTAGTTTATGCTTATGTCTCATATGGCAACAGGAACATCCATCAAAACTCGTAAATTTTCAGTTATATTATTATTTCCTGTGAGTCAGATCTTGTGAAATGTTTTACATTTACGGTGGGCCATTCTTCATCATACTAGCTTTAACCATTACACGGTGTCTTTTTCGTTACTCTATCATTGATATTCATAGGTATCCCACACGTTTCACTTGTTAGTTTGAAACAATCAACTGATTTCCTCGCTGATGGTCTCAGCTGAATAGTTCGGGAGTCAGTGGACCCAACAACAATTACCTACACGTATTACCGTGCCGTGCTGTCCTTGGGGATGCAAACCTGGATTATACACTCACCTGATCCGTCGAGGTGGGTGATGGAGTCAAGTCATGGAATGAATTTTCGTACGACGGTGGCTTCATGCTGTCCACATCACATTCATGCACTGGCGCACATGCTACAATGATTAAAGCAACATCAGGTTCTATACTCACAAGGTGACACGGACTGGACAGGACAAGACAGGACAGGCTATTTACCCAATGTGGAACTGCAACGGTCGCGATGTGAACGTTCTGTTGACTTTCAAACCCGCACCCCTTTGCTAGTGTTGGCGATGTCTCTTTAAAGTGTTCTAGTCAGCTCCGCCCTTGTCACGTGTCCCGATACAACATTTGGTTCGCTCAAAGTTACATCATTCCATGGTCTCACATCTTACCTCTTGATCGTAGAATCACTGTAAACTACTCGTTTATTCACCGTTAACTACTTTAAGAGCCTTCTGCATTATGTTACTCCCATGCTGTATATCCCTTGATATATTACCAAGCAGCGACACCATCCATTCCCTCACGAAATAACCGCATTTCTCAATAATGGGTTTGTTTTACGTTTCTTGTTTAGAAGATGCATTTTTACCTTACAACAATGGCAAGTCTTAGACAATAGTCGTGCTACCGATTCGCTGAAGCATCCCTTCAACGTAGACTAAGATGTGTTGGTTGTCGTTAACATGTGGGTGGAGTGGGTCAGGTGTTCTGCATCAGGTCTCACTGACATAGCGATGGGGAAGAGACATCACTCCGAGCAGATGGGGCATGGTGGGCGAGCGGTCTAAGGCACCGCACAAGAAGGCGAAAGGTGCCTGGATCTATCTCTAGTTGTCACCGAGTGTAAAAACCTTGGAGCTAACATTACTTGCATGCTCTTTCAGTGTTGTCACAGCCCCTAGTGTGCAGTACACAACCCTGGGCACTTACAAGAACCCACTCATCCGATGGTAGGTGACCAGATGGTGGACACACGAACACATGCAGACACCTAGTTGCGGGTATAGAAACGTGCAGTATCGCTGGACAAACTACTGTGACTATGTGTCCCAGTCCACCCAGATGCAAATGGGTACCTTGTGAGGATGAGGTTGTGTGATAACTCGTTGCGCCTAACAGGCTGCATGAGTTGGTTAAAAGAATGCCAGAAAAATCCGTTGATCAAGGGAACAATCCAGCGCCTATATAAATATGTGCGCTATATAAATATCCTAATAATACTAAAAAGGCTCCTTAAAGATCAGATCTGATTAGCTTGTTTGTACACTAAACCCAAGTTCCTGATGCACAACTACCCACGACAGAGGCAGTGCTCAAGGAGACAAGCTCCTTCTTCCGTAAGACACGGAAATAGTCCGTCTTGGTCGCCAATGTCTTTTCAGCATGTGAAGCTCACACAGGTCGATAAGCTCCTTCATGTATTCATTACATTCTTTGACTTATTATACACATCGTCTCTATTACCCTGGGGTGCTGCACATACTGGTCGTCCATGTCATCAGTATATGTAATCTTGTTGTCATTATCGTACATAAATGTCAATTATATTTCCACTGGGTCGTCTTGCACTGAGGACGCTGTCCGATATTCGTTGGTTTCACATTGCTTTTCAACTCGCTGTGCGCATGCGCAGAGCGTGTGAAAACTATCCACTGCATGCTTCCGGTTTGGTCGTATTTTTATCGATAGCGTAAACACTCCAAAGAAAACAAAAACCAAAACAAATATATAGTTTTATGTCGAATACAACTGACCCCAGGTGATTTATGAAACAGAGGCCGGGATTAGTTAAATAAATAGCTTAAGTTATGTTAACAAGCTCTTGTATAAAGACATCTCACCACCACCGTTCCCGCACATCCCCTGCTCACAACTAAACAAACACATCTCTGATGGAGTTGCAACCAAAATAGGACATCAATTATTGAAAAGCAGAGGCAAATGGAAGTATGTACTCAGCTATGAACAGTTGTCACAACATAAATAATTTTCAAAACAACTTTTATTTAGCGTGCATTTGCACTATCGATAAACATACGACCAAACCGGAAGCATACAGTGGATATTTTTCACACGCTCTGCGCATGCGCACAGCGAGTTGAAAAGTAATGCGAAACCAACGAATATAGATATGGCTGTTAGTGGTTTGATGATTCATCGATACGCATCGATGCATCGATCCATGGACCGCTGATACAGTGAATCGATACAAAGTTTTACGTTGTTGTATATCCCGATACGATACTTCAAATGAATCACGATACATCGATGTTTAACTTTGAATATTGCCGAATCGGGATATCTGTCAAGAAAAAACAACCTTACTTTTGTTAGAGGATTAAAATATATGCTTACTTTTCGTTTTCTCGGAAATTCTTGCACCAAGAACTGTGTCAGACAGAGCGCTGGCATGTTAAAACATTCACAAGGTCCGGGTATATACTTATCATCTAGTTACCGAATGAACATTGAACAACGCGGGCGGAATTTGACGAAATACTACAAAATTGGTTTTGTTTTGATCTGAAGGTGTCGTATAGTTTATGTTAGAATTAAAGATCTTAGTATCGCGATACATATCGTATCGCCACCCTTATATCGGGAGTCGTATCGTATGGCAGTTTCAGTGCACAATACTTTGGCGATATATCGTCGTTACTACAATTTTAGTATCTTGATACATTGTATCGCAGGCTGTATGCCAATACCAGCACTAATGGCTGTATTGATCTGGGAGTCGGTAATACCAAAGTCAAACTCCACATGTAACATTGTAGGATAGACACACCCACCGAAACTGAAATAACAATTTACGTGTGTCTTACTTTGGTCAAAATCAAAACCAGTTTATATAGTCCAAGTCCACACACAACACAAAGACAACATATGTTTGCTATTAAACTACCCAAGTCCATACACACAACGCAATCAAATCAAGCATGTGTTTGTTCTAACAACCAGGTCCACACACACAGCACAGCGAAGTCAAGCATATGTTCGTTATAACTGACTGACTGACTGAGTTTGGTTTTACGCCGCTTCTAGCAATATTCCAGCAACATCACGGCGGGGGACACCAAAAATGGGCTTCACACATTGTACCCATGTGGGGATTCGAACCCGGGTCTTCGGCGTGACGAGCCAACGCTTTAACCATTAGGCTACCCCACCGCCCCGTTCGTTACAACATTAACGTCGACACACACAACACAGTAACTTCATAAACTTTACTGGGGTCACATGGCTGTGTGCCGTTTGCCACCAGCGGGATACGCTCACCTTTTGCTCGCGCTTGTTATCATCACTATTTGATACAGTCGGATGCTACTGCCGGGTTCATGATGTAAGTGGCATCGTATAACTGACTCTACATTTAGCTAGGCCATATTGTGAATACAGAACAGGTGTTCGCTTCTATTAAATGACCAATAATGCACTGAGAGTACATATGTAATGCACAGGGTGCATTCTTCCATGCTATGTACATCTGCCTTGTGATTAGTGGGGGCGGTGGGGTATTCTAGTGGTTCAAGCGTTTGCTCGTCACGCTGAAGACCAGTGTTCGATTCTCCACATGGGTACAATGTGTGAAGCCCATGCCTGGTGTCCCCCGCCGTGATATTGCAGGAATATTGCTAAAAGCTGCGTAAAACCACACTCGCTCACTCACACTGCATGGCTGATAGGGGAATGTGCAATCCAGGCTGCTTGTGAAATGTTAGAATGTTAACATTCACGTTACCAGCTCTTCCTACCGGGTACCCATTCACTGAAGATTTGTGTATTTCGAACAGTAAATATTTCGTGAATAGTGGGTGTGGCATTTGCTTGGAAATCGTATGGCAGATATACAACAGGGCTGTCAGGCAAAAACTTAAGTTTTTGTATGCAAAGTGTGTGAGTAATGGGTACCTTGAGGAGAGCACATGTTTAGCTTTTCGCGAACAAGTGTCCAACAAACAATTGTCGTAAGTGTCAAGCATCGGAGTTACGACCCGTAAACGCTATGATCGCTTTGTGAAATGTACTAAGCCATTTTTAATAATCCTTCAATGATACACTCAGTTTTTACAATGCATATTTGATGGCACTGAGAAAATTTCAAAGTCTACACGTCGGCTCCTGTTTGGAACCTATAGTTCATAGTCCAAAACAATTCAGCAGCCTTAAGTTACATAATTCGGTTCCGTGGACCATCATTTAGCCACGGTATGGAACATCCTTTTGTTAAT